TTATTTGTTTTTGTTATCACGGATTTGTTTTAGTAGTTGGCGCGATTTTTTACGTTTGCGCCAGCACACAAACGTATTTTTCGGTTTTTGCGTCATAAAGCGGCTTCCGCCCCCATACGTGCAACTTCGTAGAAATAAGCAAACGTAATCAAAAAATTATTTTGAGTTGGAAATTAAAAAGTAATCGCTGCGGAATATGCGGCATAAAGCGTGCGAAAGCAAAACACGCATAAAAGTGAAACTCGACATTTCCCTCGAGTTCCCCGTTCAAATTTACGTTCTTCAAAGTACGTTTTTTATGTTATTATCTGTTTGTGTACGTTTCTCATCGTGATATATCCCCTTGGTTGAGGAATTGAAAAGTATCAGGTTCGTATAACCACGCTATAACGTGAACAGTATATAAAACAGAAAATTCATATACATACTATTCCATGGAAAACGCAGATCGCGTGAGATAAAGCGGTTAAATAATGACTCCCACCCGCATTCCCCCCTATGATTTGAAACGTGTGTATAATGGGAATAATGTGTGCATAGGTCAATTTACGCCAACTTTAAAACGAATGTTAATTATCAAATTGAGATACAAAAAAGGGAAACTTGAACATATTTCACTGTTTTCATGTAGAAAGATAGAAAACGTGTTAACTCGCGGTTTGAATTGACCAACGCATATGAAGTATTCGGATTTGAGGGAAATAGTTAAAATGTGCAACTTTAAGTAAAGTGAAAATGGTGTGAAGAGTGCGTTTGAAAATTAGTCGGAAAAACGTTTCAATGAGCGGAAACATAGAAAAACGTGCATAAATGAACAAGATCGCGCACTTGACCATAAAACATTTAAATATTTGTGGAATAGAATTGAAAACGTTCGGTATACTTACCGAAAGAGTGCAAAAATGATATCAAATACGCTCAAAGTTCATCTATGCGCAAACATGCAACGCAATGAGTTAAAATGGAATTTAGGTAGGGATCATATGAAAAACGAGTTGAATAGGGTCATAAAATATTCCTCAAACCTCACGATGACAAACGTGCACAAAACATAAAAATAGAAAAAAAAATGACACCGAAAATGTTTTATACTTATATTCGTTGAAGAACGTGAATATTTGCCGCTTTTTCAATTCCTCGCGGGAAATGTCGAGTATCCATGCGATTACTTTTTTAATTCCAATGATTTCGTTACTTTTTCGTAGTTTTCTACGAACTTGCAATATGCGAATTTACTCGTTTTTATTTTCCCGTCTATTCCACAGCTTTTTTCGCGTCTGTTTTTTCTAGTTTTCTGTTATTTTTCCCAATTTGCAATCACTGTTTTTCTTCCATATTTTTAGTACCGTCTGGTTTTTTAACGTTTCTTCTTCAACGTTGAAACGTTTTTTGTTTTCTATGTGGACGTGTTTTTATGTCTTTTCGCACGTTTTTATGCTTTTCATGTAATGCCTATATACACGTTATCCACGAATATTTACATGTTTTATGCTAATTTAGTACCTTTTCTTTCTTTGCATATGTACTTTAAAGTTTCTTTTTTAATTATACGTTTGTGCAGCGAATTTCTTTTGATATTTAAGCAAATATGCACGTTTCTCATTTTCTTGCTATGCTCGTTCATACCCGTTTACTCCAAATTCACCATATTAAAAGTTACATTCATGCACATTTTACACTTTCTCATCTTACTTCGTATGCGTTTACCTCTTAATCATTTCGCATTAACGAACCTACATATTTGTGCTCGTTTATCTCTATTTATTCGTCTATTCCACTTATTCGCCTATTCCACTTAATTACTTCATTATCCGTTTGTGCACGTTTCTCATCGTGATTCTGAATTCCGATCTATGTTTCTGCCACGTTTTCAAGTTAGCTCATTCGATTCGTTTTTTATGAACATATGCATGCCGTTCTATTTCGTTTTTTGCTTTCATTGTCAACGTTTTTATGCGTTTGGTTTGCTCATTGCATATTTTCCATGTATTATATATACACGTTTTCCACTTGTTTTATGCTCATGTGCGCGATCTTATCTTTTGGAAGTTTTTTTTTATAGAAATCTATTTCCTGTATATTCTTTTTTCACCCTTTTCGTTTTTTTTGTTGAGAATTTGCACGTTTTGATGTTTTTACTCATGTGTCATGTTGTCGATATTTCTGTTTTATTTGGTTATCCAGTGTTTTTATTCGATTTGGACGTTTTTCCGCTTGACTAACTTTTCCAGTTAAGTCGATAGCTTCTAGTATGGAAAGGTTTTTCGGCGTTTTAAACACTGGTAAGTTATATTTTCCACGCTTTCATTTTTTTTTTTACAACAGAAAGTCGCTTTTTCTGGTTTTCTAGCTATTTCATGGTTAAGTTCCTTAATGTGCGTTTGTGAGTTTTTTTTTACGTTTGAGACGTCAGAATTATCGAATTATTTTAATTTTGCCTACGTTTAGCAAAATGTGCACGTTTCTGTTTTTCTATTTTTCTGTTGATATGCGCGTCATTTTTATCTTCGTTTATGCATATAAACGTCAGTTTCAAATGTTGTGCCACCACAATTCCTCCGAACTACAGCTATTTTGTCACGTCATTCTTCTTTAGTAAAAAACCATACTTATTGGTTTGAAAAAAATTGGAGGATAAGGTTTTCTCACGAGTAGAAATTGTTTCACGAATCGGCAGGGAGAAGACATTGCGTCATTCTCATCGAGACACGATTGGTCGATGAGTATTTCGTAGTTGTGGACACAGAAAACAAACATGTCGTTGGTTTGGAGGATTGAAGATGGAATCCACTTTCTCGAGCTGATACATAACTCGCAATAAAACTTTTGCTTTGCTTCGGGTGCATACGATAGTGACGACGACAAGAACTTTCTGTGCCCATGTACCTTTACACGTATATCGAGGTGACATTGCTGTGGATATACCATGAGCGCCTATTCACTCGTCACCATTTGCATGAATCTGCAACAAAATAAAACGCCTGGCACTGTTGCCCCCGAAACGTATTCCACTAAGAGCTCGAAGAGGACGCCACTCAGGTAAGTTAAGACTGGGCCTTCCGTTTGTCGCGCGAGTACGCATACCGCTTTTTCTTGCCATGGTATTCATGTCAATGCGTGGGCGCTCCACGCTGCTTCCTAGCCCGCGAGTAGTGGCCTCGGCGAGAGAACGAGCGACGACCCGCCGAGCTTTGTCCTCTCTCCCGTCTGAGAGGGGCTGGTACCGAGGGGCTGCTGGTACCTGGGGTATCTCGGGGCTGATTCTCACACGCACACACGCGATGAATCACGTGACGCTGTTTACCGGTGTAAAGTCCACATTGGTCGAGGCGGTGTAGCTACGGCAATATCGTCTTCGTGACCGCCTTTCTCGATATTGTCTCGGAGAGCGACGCTACTATCCCATGGATGTGGAAGTGGGCGTGGTCAATGTAACCACGCCCATTTGCGGTTTGATTGAGCTTTATATCAGGCTTTGTTTGACTTCGATATAACCCAAATCTTTTACCAGTCGATTTTGCTTGAGCAGGAAACACAGGAATCTCGGCGACACTAGAAGCGCGCATATGGAAATCATCGTGCCCCCCTACATGAAACCTGCACGAGTCAACGCTTGGTTGCTGCCGCCTCTGCAAGCGACAGCCAAAGCGCTTCCTTCGCCCATATACAGAGTATAACCCTGCAACAACTTCGCACTGGCGAGAGCCGGCTTCGTTTTGTACTGCGCATAGGAACTACAAGCGTATACAAAAAAAACAGGTTCATGTTCGCAGCCCTGCAACACCGGCGATGCATTTATTCGGTCTTGCAGAACTCGGCAAGCACGCGACATCGGGGGATACTGGTGCGTTTGTAACCCCCATACTATTGCATGAATACCGTTAGAAAGAGCCTGGTATCCCCTGCCCAGCGCTTTGTTACGCTTCTGGCTCTAAAACATCTGTAGTGATTTCAAAATTGTCATTGACATGAAACTATGACGTGAGCCCATGTCGGCCATGATACAAAGTGTAAAGTGAAACATTGGGTATAACAGAACAACTTGCAATATACATTCTGTGACTATTAGTTCAGAAGACGCTGCGTGGATGTTTGTCGACGAAGGAATGAAGTACCACATACTGTGCAATATCGATGTGTGTCGACGAAGGAATAAAGTACCACCATACACTGTCCAGTACTAGACAGAGACATGGAGCTAAACAAACATACTCCACAAAGCTGGAGCTGAAGACTAAAAGTAGTTTGAAAGTCAGCTGCAAAAAGGAATCTGGAGAATACAGGTTGTGGAAGATAGAGATGAGTCAGTTCACTGTACACAACCTACTTGGAGAGACAGCTCTGACTGTTCCTAGAGCACCATGGGACGGTGGAAGGCAAGGTTGAAGGACAGGGGGATAAAGCGGTAGTTTCTTGTATAGGCCGTCATTATACACGTACACATCAATATATGGCCAGATTATGACCAAGAATACCGCCTTCGCAAGGATGCTTGCCGTCGCATACAGTATACAAACCGGTCGTCTAACGCTTTTCCCTTCTGCCTTTTCAATCAGACTTTCTCTCAAAATTGCTGGCGATCCGGTAGAAGACAACTTTTCCGGCTTGATAGCTGTTCATTCTGCTGCCCATGGGCCACGAAAAACGTATCTACTCGTAGCGTCTTCTCCAAGGGTCAACGTGGGTTTGCGTAAAAACTCCGCCCACTAATCCTCGGTGCGCAAAGCGCCGCGAAAAAGCCATATGGCCGTTGCCAACGCCCCGTTGCTACGGAATTTTTATGATTACGTAATGATTCCGTGATGTCACTAAGTTGGTATTTACGCGTTCGTTCTACGGAATTGAAACAGCCGTGGACACTATCGGCGTCCGCTCCAATTTTCAATAACTCGTTAGTGCGCATGCGCGGCACGACCAATGACGTCAAACGTTATTCATTCATGTTTGACTGCGCATGCGCTCCCAAGTATTTCATCATGCGCATGCGCTTGTACAAACCCGATGGTGGGTGTGTCCAGTGAAAGGTCTAAAAGTGAAGATGAACACTACTGAGGCTGAATTTGATCGAGAAGCTGTCCGGATGTTAAGGAATATTGGACTCAAGGGTGTTGAAGAACTCAATTATTTCCAAAGATCTAGTAATAGTAGTAAAACGTGGAAAGAAGGGCTGAGAAAACCGTCAAAACCTCGTGTGAGGCGAATTCGTACTGTTGACTCGAACCCTACAACCACGGTTTTAAGGTGCGCTTCACCAGCCGAAGAATCTTTATGCCGATCAAAGGTACTACTATCATCCACGAATTCATCCGGATCTCACTCCTTTCGTCACGAACGTCTTACACAGACCAAATCCGCGCCTGAAGGGAGCGATGTTTCACCTGCTCCGTGTTTGTCTGAGCCGACTGTTTTTAAAGTCACGTCTACCTGCATACCACCGCCTGTAAGCCGGCCAGTTAAAATGGGTGCTCCAACTCAAACACGAAGTGTTGAAAAGCAGACTGAAACGAAGGTACTCTCAGTTCAGAGGCCGTCTCTAAAAATTCTCTCTATGGAAACCACAGGCGTAAAACATGTTACCTCATCTTTAGTGTCATCGCGAAAGGAAGTTGACAGCTCGATTACACCCAAGCCTTTACTTCCGCTTAATGTGTATGATCGCTTAGAAAAGTACCAAGATTGTTGTCATTCTTCATTTGAACTGCCTGATAAAGAAACTAAAGGTAGTGGTAGTCCATCAAGCCTTGGATTCCTGTCTTCTCCAAATGCTGCTAACTGTGCACGAGGAAGCGCAACAGTAATTATGGTGGACCCAGATAATGACCATGAATCACTTCAGAACCGAATCTTGTCAGATAGTCCTGACCCAGCAACTGCTTCCAACACAATGCAGACTCTTAGCACCCTCACGGATGTGGTTAATCCAGCATCAAGTACAGATGAACAGACCGAAAGTCCTTATCGCTGCACAGCAATTTCTGTCTCAGAAAGTCTCGTTTGCACTAATAGAGTGGAGCAAATGTGTGGCGGGTTTGACTTATCGCGCAATAAGGACCATGTAGAAACTAAACCTGGGTGTTCAGCATCGGATCCACCGTTAGTGCAATCAAACACAGGAGAGCATGATGCTGTATTACAGTCTAAGGTGAATGAAGTTAGTCTTGACGACCAAGATGATTTGTTTGGTGAGTTTATGTGGCATAGTGTTTACTGTGCATATTAATCAAGGAAACCCATTCTTTTAGGATACTGCCACAAATGTGATGAGGCTATTGTTGGAGAAGAAACTGGATGCTTAGCTCTTGGAAAAGTTTATCACACTCTTTGTCTGACTTGTTCCCACTGCCGTAAGTTTTATGTTTCCTATTTGTGGGTGCTTAGTGATATTGTTTGCAAGTTGAACAAGCTCGTATAGTATTGGCTTTTATTGACCATTCTTGAACCACTCTAAATTTCAAACTTCGAGCGATTGAATGAAATCATAACGGGTAGAGGAATTTGATTGGTGATCTGCTGACATACCCCACAAGTATTTTTTTACATTTTTGCTATCCGGTTTAATAAAGATTTGTGCCTGTTGCTCTTCCTTGTGTGGCGTTGATATGTAGTTACTACAGATCAACGCCACGCAACAAAACGTGTTTGTCAAGAAAATATAACATGCTAATAATTTTACATAAATTTAAACAATATGTGATCAGTAATATGCATGCATACAAAGTTTCATCTTTATGCTTGATTTAAATAAAATTGCCTGAGTTCATTTTTCCTTCACAAACATGTATTGTTGTGTTTTTGATAATAGTGACTATGTTCACAGACGAATCCAAATTGAGTGTAAGTTTGGCACACTTAGCAACAATAGGAATTCTGTGGTGTCAGCGTGCTCAAGTCTGTTCGTACACTATGCTTCATGTATCCCATCCATACCTTCCCATCCCTATATGCCTCTTAAAATTCGCAGGAATTTTAAACGCTTTCTCCTCGCTCTTAGAACTTTCCCTAATCTGATCTTCTGGTGATTTATATGCATGAGATGACGATGACATGAGTGGAGACCACGGGACGCCATCAATTAGCAGTACCGCGTATACACAGTTCGCTGCAAGGTTTTCATTAGTATTGTGCATGTATTTAACTGCTTTGGACTCCAAGTATGGGGTTCAGGTTTCGCATATGGTAGCTTCCCAGCTAGACATAGCTGCTGCTGATTGCACACGAAGCGCATGCAACAATTATACTAATGCTACTTTTCATATCACTGTGGTTATTATGGGTTATGTAGAATCGGAGGCGTCTATGCCCGTGCATCGTACAGGTGGTTGCACATTAATTTAGCACTATCTGGTAGGTTTCAGTAATTAACCCTCGGTGTGAATGCGCAGCAAGGGTAACAGTACTTTGTCTATCTCTCTGTCTATCTGTCTGTCTGGTATTCTTGCACCACAGGCTACAAGGCTGCCTATAAGCGATACCAACGGGTTAAGAAGTACGCAAACCTAGTAATAAAAATGCGATTTCCCTGAAATCAGTGCAAGAGATATGCCATTAAAATAGGCCAAAAAGCCAATATGCATAATCACGCTGGCTTACCTCGACCTGATGTGCTTGCTCTGTGTACATTTGTAGCATAAGAAGTCACAACGAAGTGTGTGTATTGACTCCTGCATGTTATCTACTAGCCTGTACTGTCATACTCTTCGCAAGCTGGAGCCCACAAGTAAGCACATGTTCATAGCCAAGCCCATCAATTAGCCGTGCAGCGCAATGCACTGATGGTTTGCACTTCATCTTACACTGGTGTGGAAAAGAAAGTGTGTTGTATGATGACTAAGAATAAGATCAAAGGAATCCAGCTAGTCCAAACAACATAGATGTGATTGTGAGTGCTTCCTGCTGAGTGTATGGTTGTTGGATTTCGGAAGGCTTGGTCTCCGTATCAACTGTGTATGGCCAGTTTTCCTGCTCAAACAGCTAAATTTATTCCACATTTCCGGGGGTGTGGCTTCATTACGTGCAACTATAAAAGGCCCACAATTCCTTACAATCTTGGCCGTTTTCCTAAACGAAAGATTGGCCACTTGTTCCGTACGATCTCTGCGATGGTAAACCAGGGAAACGGAGATATCGTGTCTCTACTACATAGACTCACAGAGCCCCTCGACTCCCTGCAAAAGGACGTCGAATCTCTAAACGAGAAAGAAGCCCTGCGAGTGAGACGGTCCACGAGGTGCAGTCCTCGTCAAAAGACGCCGCAGATGGAGATTCCGTGCAGTGATGCAGCGAAGCGCAGAGCAAGCAAACCCGTGGATTGGGAAAGCAGCCCGGACGGTCGGACGAAAGGCACCCGCCGTCACGCCGCACTTCTTGTCGATTCCAATCGAGACGTCGGAACGTCCAGTAAGGACGAATCTAGAGAGACGTGTCAGTCATTTCGCCACTACAGCGGCTAAACTTGGCCGTGGCTGTAGTGAACCCAGGCGATGCTCTTGAGGTATGTGTCCGACGCTAGCTCTCAGCCAACCTACCAGCATGTCACGCCGCTGGAATGGAATTCATTCCAGTGGTGGTGGAGACATTGGGCGGTTGGGCTCCAGGGGTGTCTTCTACCATTCGCAAACATTGGTGAAGCCCTTGGACAGAGGGTGAACCCTTCCTGTTTGCCTCAGACCACGAGACACCTTTTCGGCCGTCCGGAAGTCGCCCTTTGACGTGGAAATTCCACACTATTGGTCTGTCGGACCCCGCCTCTACTCCCTCAAACCGATGGCATCATTTGACTTGTCTATTTTCCTCCAATTTTAGCCTTGCATCACTATACTTATTGTATATTTACTAAAACGTAGATAAGCAAACAAACAAAAAGAAATTTAGAGAGTGGTCGCGATCACCGCGTAAACCTCGTAAGAGCCGAAAGGGCTAGGGCTCACCGGCTCAACGATCTGTAGAAAGACACCGATCGTGGTGCGAACGTATGTCGGACTCCGAGGAGGAGAAAATGGACTATTCGAGTGAGCTGTTATTCTGAGACTGAGGATCAGTCTGTGACCGTCTCTGATTCTGAGACTGAGCATCAGTCCAAACAACGGTAGTGGAGGTGTCGGCGAGGACAGAGAAATACCTCCAGGAGAAATGCACTCAGAGAGTGTCAAACTCCGATCGGAAGGGAGTGCGGGACAGATACCCACTCCTCAAGGTGCCAGCAACCAGGATCCCACAGTTGGACCCGATTATGAAGTCGGAGGCTTCAACTGCCACCAAGGCAACTGACAAACAGCTAGCCAGGGGCAAGACGCTGCTGTTGGACTCGCTGGTACATCTGACCTCACTCACTCTTGGAGGCCCAAGGCCCACCATAAGGGATATAAGCTGGAAGTGATCCAGGCAGTGAGGTCGGGCATTCAACAAGTTAGAAATGCCAATGCCAGTCTCTCACACCTCTTGAGAGAGAGTGTCGTGAGCGACTTCAATAAGTCCTTTCTCCCAATCGTCGGTGACGATAGTAATTTTAAAGATGAAAAGCACTGAAGTGTAAACCCTCGGTGCGTTGTGACACACACGGGTGTGTAAACGCGTGTGCTATATCACTAATTGATGGGCTGGGTTTAGTTTTAGCTGTTACTCGTGGTCTCTTGCCAGCTCGCGCAGAGTCTGACGCGGGCTAACTACACTACTAGATACTAGCATGCGAGAGGCGATACACACCCTGCGTTGCATCTTCTGGTGCCTCCGAGGCACGCAGAGCACGCGGATCGATCAGACCGGGGGTAAGCTATCCCATCCATATTGGCTTTTTCGCGCTGTAGCTCTGCAACGGAGCATTTTTAGAGAAAACCCCACTTATTTTCTGACCTTCGTCACCCGTTGGTATCGTTTCTGGGACGAACAGACATTCGAGAGGTGAGATGTAGAGTAACAAACAGACAGACAGACAAACCCAACTACTGTAACCCTCGCGAGGCACCCTTTTTGTTTGGAAGTTTGCCAAGAAGGGGAAGGAGATTGTGGACCAGGTGAAAGCGATGCGGTCCTCTCTTCCTAAAAACAAGGAGCCGCTTCAGCTGTAAGTACGGAATGGGGCGGAGCCCAGACCTTCCGTTACAACAGGGAGGGGCCATACCAAGGCGGGAAAGGCCAATCCAACACAAAGGGAGTGCTCAAAACTAGTTTTCTTACTTGTTGTACCACCATGTCGCCAAAAAGAAATTTATCAAAATGTGTTGGTAACACAAATGACGCCACTGGGTGTAGTTCCAGTAGAGGCAGACCCTGTGGATGTGGTTCCTGGAAAGGAATAGCCCAACATCTACCGGGTGTCCAGAACGTAGTAGCCGATGCGGAGTCTCGGACTATGATAAATCGGTCAGACTGGCAGCTGCATCCTGTGATATTCAACAGGATGACACACCTTTTCGGTCCCATGGGGACGGATTTGTTCGCATCCTGTCTGACAGTGCAGTGCCCAGCCTTTTTCAGCTGGCGGCCAGATCTCTATGCAGTGGCAACAGATGCCTTCCGGCAGGACTGGTCTCAAATCAAGGAGTATGCCAACCCACTTTGGAGTCTGATAGGGCGGGTACTGTCAAAAGTACAAATGGACAAGGTTCGCATTGCTCTGGTGGTACCAGTGTGGAAGACACAACCATGCTACCCCCTACTATTGCAAATGCAATACCACGTCTGGTCAAATGATGCTGATCAGCCAGGATCTCGTCCCTCAGCTATCCGCATGGCTCTCATTAAGCCATACAAGGCAGTTACATCTAGCCCCATAACTAGATGGCTTAAATCTCTGCTGGAAGCAGCAGGAATTGATACCTCTGTGTTTAGTGCCCACTCAGTACGAGGGGCATCATTCTCAGCAGCTGCAAACTTGGGCATTATGACTAAAGGCTGCAGACTGGAGTTCTGAGTCTGTTATTCAGAGGTTTTACTACAAACCAACAGAGGATCCATCGTTTGGGAAAGCAGTGCTCTGTACCACTGATACTAGGCAGTGAGTGGTCTCGTTGAGAAGGAAGAGCGGAGCTCTTGATCCTTGAGTAATGGAAGAGCGAAGCTCTTGAGCTTAGCAAAGGACACCCATAGGGTAAAGCCTAGCAGGCTTGCTACAAACAACACCGTTGATATGGAGACCGAGCCTTCCGACATACAATTCGAGAATGGCTCTGACCACGCAGTGGTTGCAAAGTATTCAGAATTGTATGACGAAGGTGAGGTTGAAATATCAACGGTTCCTCCCACCCACCCTGTGTTTAAGTAAGGGTGAAAGATGAGGCGTATAAGCTAAGCGGGTTGGGTTATGTTGCTGGTACGCAGCAGGTGAGGAAGACACACCATGCAGTATGAGGAGCTAATCCAAAGGCCGAGGTTGCAATGATTTGTGGGGCTTTTATAGTTGTACGTAATGAAGCCACACCCCCGGAAATTTGGAAGTCATTACGCATTTGCTACTAAATTTAGCTGTTTCAGGAGGGAAACTGGCCATACACGGTTGATATTTCAGCCTCACCTTCCTCATACATCTCTGAATAGCTTGCAACCACTGTGTGGTCTGATCCATTCTCGAATTGGAAGATAAAAGAGGCCATACAATTTCTTAGCCTTATTTGCATAAACCATAGTGGGTGTATGGTAGTTAGAAGATAGTAGGAAATTGGCAGCGTGGAATGCAATTGGGGCCTTTTGCACTCTTTGTGTGCTGCTGTTTCTTTGCCAGAAGGGAGTGTTTTCAGGCTGGAATGGCCAGAAACTACTCTATTACGTGGTTTGAAATCTACTTAAAGCTGCATCTCGACGTGTACACTCCCGTGGACAGGAACAGTGACTCTGAGCTTCCTTGCTACTGCAACATGTCTGGGTGTAGCAGGGTAGAAAATGACAAAACTTGCGTGTGGGGCCTAGCAGCAAAAAAGGATGGCTTTTACGTACCTGTAACGTTGAACTCTCGAGAAATGACCGTGGCATCTGAGTAAAAAACGCCCAACTTATTGCAGCCATATCTCTCCCCCGATTGATTGCTCTCTCTTAGTCTCTTACCCAGACCCCACCCTCTAAAGAGGAAAAGGGTCTGGTGACATTTGAGTTTTCTTGGTTGTGCTCAATCTTCAGCCTTGTGATAGTTGCATAAACACACGCCAACCACACATACAGTCACGAACACGTGGCATGCACAGACCTTCGATGTATGTGCCCTACGAAGGCATTAAGCGATCTGATTGGCTTACCACAAACTAAGACTGCTTAATCAGCAAAACCAAGAAATAACTGAACTATCACCAGACTTTTTTTTCCTCGAGAGGGAGAGAGAGAGTGGGGTCTGGGTACGACACTAGCTCTCTCTCCGTGCACTCGAGGATGTGCGTTAAAAAGTGTGTGTTTTGTGTGTGTGGTCAGAGCCTTATCCGTTTTTGATAGACCATTCGGGATGTGTGCGCCCTTGTGCCCTATCAAAACTGGCCACTCATGTACAAACAGTAGACCATGCGCTGCCATCGTATAACATGGACACAATTTTTGATATTGAATTGTTATTTAGGAATTCATAGCCTCAAGTTACAGCATTTAGTTACGAACATTTGTAGCAACATCTAGAGGGGTAATGTGTTTAACCACTATTCTATAAGTATGTGTGTGCTTTTCATTCAGAGAAACCACTGTCTGGGAAGTTATTCTACACTGTCGACCAGGCCGTATTATGTGAAAAGCATTATATGGTAAGTTAAAATGATCCTCTTTATTATTGTTGTGTTTACCTGTCTGTTCATACAGAAAAGTCTTCAGCGATGCCATTTTTGCAACCAAAGAATAAAAGATAAGGTACAATCTTGTTTTTGAATAATCTACTGGTTATTTAATAATTAACCCTCGGTGCGCATGCACAGCGAGGGTTACTGTAGTTGGATCTATCTGTGTGTCTGTGTATCTGTGTGTCTGTTACTCTCAATCTCACTTCTCGGGTGTTTGTTCGTCTCACAAAGGATACGACCTACCTCACAGGCAATGAAGGTCAGAAGTTTCGAACGGTTTTCTCTGAAACTGCTCCGTTGCAAAGCTAGAGCGCGAAAAAGCCAATATGCAAATACACAACGGACGGGATGGCTTACCACAGTCGGATAGATCCGCGTGCTCTGCGTACTTCGGAGGCGCCAGAAGATGCAACGCAGGGCGTGCATCGCCTCTCGCATGCTATCTAGTATTGTAGTTAGCCTGCGTCAGACTCTGTGCTAGCTGGCAAGAGAGACCACGGGTAACAGCTAAAACTAAACCCAGCCCATCAATTAGTGGTACTGCGCATGCGTTTACTTATACGTGCGCGTCACAGTGCACCGAGGGTTTGCACTTCAGTGCTTTTCATTTTACAAGCTTTAGTGAAATGCTAAGTTTACGTATAGGATGCCATGGGTGGATGGATGGATCTCCTTAAAATAATCATATGTAAATTTTCAAAACCTAATTATTATAGACTTGTGAAAGCTCTGGACACTTTTATGTGTCTGTGGCTGGTTAGGTGTTAAGATCCATCCTGAGAGCATAAGGGGAAGGAGCGCTAAACTCTGTGGAACAGCATTTAACAGTTTTAGGTGTCCTGAGTGGTTTTGCCTATACATTACGGATCAAATAAAGTAAACAAAGTACCACTATACGGTAACGGTTCTACCTATGTATTACCGCTATGTACCTTTGATATACCCTTCACGTACCATCAGTTTACCCTGCTGAACTACCTACAAAGTACTTTTAAAGGTACCGTGAAAGCTCCGGTGAAGTATATACCCTAACGTGGTACCGCGCGAGGGGTGTGAGGTACCGTTGAAGAAGTACTTCACAAGTAGTACTGCACAAACAGGGAAACTTCAGATTTTAATGTTGTACAGTAGTAGTGCGCTAGAAGTGCTAAACTTACTACCCTATAGTCCGAAAATAACACGGGCGAGCCATGATCTTCCCGCCGTTCGTGCTCTCAGCAGTCGGTCTCGTGCGGTGGTGGTGGGGGCGTGGCATGCGCTACCTTCGGCAGCTGGCAGCTGAGCTGCAAGCGAGCCGTCATTCACGGCTCGGTCCTAACATAGGCTGCTCTACTGCCTCATGGCCGTCAAGCAAACGTTAGATGGAGTTAACATTAGATGGAGTTAGCGCCTATCCTGCGGTGGGGTGGGCCGCGTGTTGCCAGGGCGTTCACTGCGGCTGGAGGGACTTGGCTGCATGCGAGGCTGCATGGTGGTGTGTAATGGGTGAGCTTTGCCGTGAAATGTCGTTACTTCGGTACCCTTCGCCGTACCTTTCTGTACCGCATAAGTACCTACAAAGTACTGTCGAAGTACCTCAAGCATATATACCTCTGGTGTACTGCTATTGTTCCTCGGAAGTACTACTACCTTTACCCTACCGTTACCGTCGTTTACTTTTTTGACTCATACTGTATTGGCAAAGTGGAGAATACCCTTAGGAAGCCAAGTTTACACTACAGAATATTGGTAGTCCATTAGCGATCACTAATTGAAGCACTCTGGCACTAAACTACCAGATGCTGAGGCGGAAGTACCGTAGTAGCTGCCCATTTTTTCCGGTGCACAGCTAAAACACTTGTGACTGTTTCACAATTATATTCTTCCTCTGTACATTAACTAGGGGAGAGAAAACCAATGCTTAGATGGTTCATTGTAGGGGTAATATAGTACGTATGTAATCCTTATAGTACAGGCAGAAAAAGCAACACCATTAAAAAATTCTATAGGCACAGCAATGTAATTAAGCATGGTTCTGCGCAAGAGTTGTCCAGTGGGCACAGTATACACTGCAAAAACGCCTAATAAACCTTCTGTGGAAACTTGGACACATATTTTGATTCTGAAACCCCCTTTAATTCGGCGTATCTCCAATCACTTGAACACCGGACTGGATGGACTAAGAGCTTTATTGATGTGGATAGCTGCTGTATGTGTTGCCTTCAAGAGTCATCTAGTGCAACTTCACACACCACAGTCCCGTCAACAGCCATAGCATACAACAGCTGGTCAAGGTAAGCCATTCAAGCAGGATAATTTCAGGCTTTCTGTAATGTCTATGTCTAAGTTGTTGTTTGTCCGCCCAGTATGACGAGCAGTGCTGGTATACATAGCTATGCACACAGACTCACACACATGGACAAACCCTCCCAGCACATGTAAGCTGAAGATACAGTAGAAGTATATAGGAGTAGAGCTATAGCTGCTACCAAAATCCATGAAACAGCAATACAAATAATCCATTGTTCTAGCTAGAAAAATATCACGGAGTGGTACTATCCATCACTTATGGGGTCTGGGGGTATGCTCCCTCAGGAAAATTTGAGCATTTGGACTCTCAGATTTTGAATCTGGGTTACTTTGAGGCAAATGTGGTAAATTAACAACATGTTTAACACACCATACATTACAGCTAAGCTACTTCCTTTCTTGCTTCCTTGCTACTCTCTTGAGCACAGCTGGCACTGACGGTTCTGCGTGTGACAATGGTGGTTCAGTTGTGAACACTTAGTACTTATGTACATAGTACTTACGTAAATTATGAATGTTGAGAATCTCGGCGCAAACGGACACGAAACACCCTTATAGTGATCTGATACATATTCACTCGACTCTTCACAAAATCTGAATTTTGTAGCTACCTGCTCTGTTCTAGAAGGTTCTACTCTATACAGCTTCTACGAGTGTTCTGTTCTGGTAAGTTCTGATGTTCACAACCATGTTAGATTACATATCAACACTCCCACTTAATCAGTAGGTTGTGGTGCAGAATACCCCATTCCCATTTCATCTCGCAGTTTCTTGAATCTTGCTTTCGGTATTGGCTTTGTCAGTAAATCTGCTAGCATGTCGCATGTCTTTTATTGGGCAGTATTCTAGGGAGATTTTTCTTTCTTGTATTGCTTCATGAATGAAGTGATATCGAATGTCTATGTGCTTTGTCCGTCCATGTGACACAGGATTTCTTGCAATGGCCATTGCACCTTGATTATCTTCCTTGATTAGAGTCGGTTGTTCTAAAGGTACCTTGAAATCTTTCAATAGCTGTCTGAGCCACACAGCTTCTTGTGCTGCCGTACTAAGAGCCACGTATTCTGCTTCAGCAGTTGATAGAGTCACCATTGCTTGCTTCTTACTCAGCCAGCTAATTGGTCCTCCTGCCATTTGAAACATATTTCCAGTGGTCGAGTGTCGATCGTCCAGATCCCCAGCCCAATCTGCATCAGAATATCCAAACAGTGGTGTATCTTCTGACCTTTTGTAAGTGATTGCAAGATCTGCTGTTCCCTTCACGTAACGCAATATTCTCTTTACAGCAGTTAGGTGACCTTCTGTAGGCTCTGAGCTGTACTTTGACACTACTCCCACTGCTTGGGAGATGTCTGGTCCTGTCGCAATGGCTGCGTATAGTACACTTCCAACCATCGATTGGTAGGTTACTTGATCAACCAGCTTGCTGACTCCATCATCTGCTTGTAACCTTACATTGAGGTCAGCTGGGGTTGCTGGGGTGGTGGTTGCTACAATCAAGTCGTCTACGTATACTGCAACAATGCTTACTTGGTTAGTGCCTCGAACGTAGATGCATGGATCTGCTGCACTAGATTCAAATTGAATGGACTTCATGAAATCTTCGAATGTAGTATTCCAACATCGGGGTGACTGCTTCAAACCATACAGTGACTTCTTGAGTTTGCAGACTAGTTCTTCTTTTCCAGGTTGAAGGTATCCATCTGGTTGCTGCATGTATATCTCTTCCTTCAGCTCACCATTCAAGAATGCAGTCACCACGTCCATCTGGTGAATGAGCATGTCGTTCTGTACTGCAAATGCCAGCAGTGCTCGAATTGAAGAGAATCTTACAACAGGAGAGAAGGTTTCATTGTAGTCGATTCCGTATTTCTGGGCGTATCCCTTGGCCACTAGTCTTGCCTTGAATCGTTCCACTTTTCCATCACTGGTATGTTTGACCTTGAAGACTCATTTACACCCGATCGGTTTCCTGCCATCGGGCAATTCCACAAGGTCCCATGTTTGATTCTCTATGAGTGACTCATATTCGGAATCTGCTGCAACTTTCCACTCCTTAGCAAACTCGCTTGATAAAGCTTCTTCAATAGATTTTGGCTCTTCAATCTGTCTAACATGACATGCTACATGATGAATGTCATCAGTTGTTGCAGCCGTGTCAGCATACTCGTCCAGACCATATCTAACAGGTGGTTGTCTCTGGCGTTCAGAGCGTCTTGGTTCTTCTGATTCATTTTGCGTGTCTGGTTCAACTTCTGGCTTGATTTCTATTTCAACTTTTCTTGCTGGGTGTTGACCTCCTTTGTTCTCTGTCCAAAGTCTGTTTCATTGAAAATCACGTCTCGACGAATGAAGACTTTTGACGACTTCTCTTCCAGCAATCTATAGCCTTTGGATTCGTTGCTGTATCCAACAAAACGGTACTTCTGAGACTTCTTGTCTAACTTGTTTCTTTGAGCATCTGGTACGTGTGCATAAGCAGTGCACCCAAACACTCTCAGGTGGCTTACATCTGGTTGTTTTCCATACCAT